TTACTAGACCTGGCTTTTACTAGGGGCTGGTTTACTACGGGGACCTGGCTCTATAAAGGCTGCTTTCTACGGGACCTGGCTTTATGAGCCTGGCTCTACTAGGAGACCTGGCTCTTGAGGCTGCAAACTACTAGGGGACTGCTCATGAGCCTAGGCTTTACTAGTGGACCTGGCTCTTACTACGGGCCACGCTCTTACTAGGGAACCTGGCTTTTACTAGGGAATCTGGCTCTTACTACGGGACCTGGCTCTTACTAGGGGATCTGGTTCTTACTAGGGAACCTGGCTCTAACTAGGAGACCTGGCTCTTCACTAGGGGACCCGGCTTTTACTACGGGACTTAGCTCTGATTATGAGACCTGGCTCTTACTAGGACCCCTGGCTCTTACTACGGGTCTTGGGTCTTACTAGGGGACCTGGCTCTTACTAGGGAACCTGGCTTACTAAGGGACCTGGCTCTTACTAGGGGACCTGGCTCTTACTAGGGGACCTGGCTCTTGCTAAGGGACCTGGCTCTTACTAGGGGACCTGGCTCTAACTAGGAAACCTGACTCTTAGTTAGAAACCTGACTCTTACTAGGATACCTGGCTCTTAGTGAAGAACCTGGTTCTTACTGGGTGGCCTGGCTCTTAATGAAGAACCTGGCTCTTAACAGGGGACCTGGCTCTTAGTCGGGAACCAGGCTCATACTATACTAGAGGACCTGACTCTTACTAAAGAACCTGGCTCTTGTTAATGAACCTGACTCTTAGTAAAGAACCTGGCTCTTGCTAGTGAACCTGACTCTTAACATGGAAACCTGGCTCTTACCTTGGAAACCTGGTGACGCAGGTTCGACTCCTGGACCTGACTCCTCCTCCACACGACCTGCAAGCATACACACCATGGTCAGACTGTATTTTGGCTAGTCACTCTGGACTAGACTGGTCATACACATCAAATCATACAGAATATTCCACACTTACACATACAGAGCGCCTGCCCCTGCCCCCTAGCTGAACTACACTGACCTGGAACACGTGGCCCAGGAGCTCCAACGCGACCACTCCGTCATGACCTCGTTGACGTGTGGCAGCGGTCCAATGTGTGGTCGTTGCGAAAAGTGGGAGGAACCAGTCCGCGTTCTCGACCAATAGTAGGACGGTGGACCCTGGTATGCCACACCCACTGCCGCTTGAAGAACCTATCGGGAGAGACGATGAGAAAAACCGTTAGTTCTCGACCAATTGTAAGGCTGGTGAGCCTAATATGCCACGCCCACTACCGCCTGCAGAACTTTTGAATGATCTGGTCAGAGTTTGCCTTCAATAAATAGTGTAGTTGACAGAGCAGTGTTGGACCCTGGAGACGTGACCCCCCCCAAAAAAAAAGAAGGTTTCTCATGCTTATTGTATCCATCAGCGAATAGTGGAAGAACGTAGGGTCGGCGCACGAATGACCTCAGGTTCGAATCCCGTCCACTGCTTGAGCAAAAAAAAAAAAAATGTGAAACACTTAAGTTCTGGACCAGTGAAGGGTGGAGCAGGACGCAAGGCCAGGCCAACTATCACATTAAGACGCCTTCTGTTCTGGAAGTGGGAAGTACAGTGCCTGAACTCTGAAGGATGGGTGAGGATGTTGTTTTGGAGGTGGGAAGTATAGTGCCTGTACTCTGAAGGATGTGTGTGTGAGAGAGAGAGAGAGAGAGAAAGAGAGAGAGAGAGAGAGAGAGAGAGAGAGAGAGAGAGAGAGAGAGAAGAGAGAGAGAGAGAGAGAGAGAGAGAAGAGAGAGAGAGAGAGAGAAGAGAGAGAGAGAGAGAGAGAGAGAGAGAGAGAGAGAGAGAGAGAGAGAGAGAGAGAGAGAGAGAGAGAGAGAGACAGAGACAGACAGACACAGAGAGAGACAGAGCGAGACAGAGACAGAGAGACAGAGAGAGATGGGACGGAGGAAGTGAGGGAAGTCTACAAGGTATGGAAGAAAGGAAAGGTGGAATCAGCAGAAGGGGATGGAAGCGGGTAGGAGGGAGGGAGGGAAGGAGGGAGAGACATAGAGGAAGAGAGGGTAGGGGAGAAGGGAGGAAGATTCACTCATCCCAAAGACTCATCATTATCATCATCATCTCTACCTTAAAACCCACAGGAAGCATCACAACCCACCATAGACAGGCAGCTGCCTGCCATTACCCCTCTAAGTGCCACGAGGGGAATTCCTCTTTATTACATATTATACACAAACTACTCAACTCATTACGGCTGTAATTACTATTAATCACTATACAATTCATGGTGTTTTTCCCGTGGTTAGCTTACACATTACGCTGGCTCCCTGCCTCTATTATCATAGGTGGAGCACCTTGCGTGTTTTTATGCTCTGTTTTGTGAGGGGGCTGGGCGTGCTTGGCTGCCGGTCCCGCCCACGCCCACACACGTACACGGAGGCACGTACCTACACACACATACATACACCTACGCACGTACCAAGGCGCACACACACACACACACATGTACCCAAACTCGCACTGAAGACAAAGGCACACAGGTACACAAGTGAAAGTTGAAACCTCACATGAACCACAGATATGTCAGAACATACATACACACGTGTATATCAACAGTAGAATACACCCAACAAGCAAGACGTTTCACCCACCAGGAACTGCATCAGTTCCTCACCAGATAAGTCCCTGGTGGACAAAACGTCGTCCCAATAAAAGGCCACACACACTGCATGTACTCTTTGTCACTGGCATATGTACTGCCTTTAATGAAGAATTATTGTGAAGGTCTCAACAGCACCTTGAGTTATTACTCTCTGGAGGACGAGAAGGACCTTTGAGGAGGTAACACTTCTGCATTACCTGACACAGGTGAAAGTTGAAACCTCACATGAACCACAGATATGTCAGAACATACATACACACGTGTATACCAACAGTAGAATACACCCAACAAGCAAGACGTTTCACCCACCAGTGGCTTTATATCTTCCATTCAGAGATGGTGTTGGATGACAATGGAAAATGACGTTATCAGTCCCTTGGTCTTGTTGAACTATACACAGAAGGACAGTGGAAGATGAGGTTATCAGTCCCTCAGTCTTATCTATACACAGAAGACAGTGGAAAATGAAGATACATCATAATTTACACCCACGAGGCCGAGAGGCTCAACAGACGGTGCAAAATATCCCTAATGAACAGCAGAGGTGCGGTGAGTACACTAAGAGGAAACTTAATAAGTGTACAAGGACCAAGACTCAACACCCTTCATTCATACACAAGGAGAATTAACAAAAGAACAGTACATGTCCTCAAGACTGAGTGCAGGCTGTCACCAACAGCCTGAACGATCGGGTCTGGGACCGGGCCGCGGGGGCTTACAAGTAGTAACTGAAAGGTAGATTATTATTATTATTATTATTATTATTATTGCTATAAATAATTTATTGTTATAAATAATAAGAATAATAACAACTATTATTATAATGAGAAGGCCCTAAATTAGTAGGGGCGTCACATAGCGCCTGGGGAGAGGGAGAGAAGTAATAAGCTCTGATCCGAGAAGGGATAACATCTCCAATTGCTCTGATCAAGAGCCCCCTCCCCCATGACCCACCCCTGGAATGTGAGCAATCAAACCACGACTTAATGACCATCAATTATTGATGACGCAATACATTCAGGTGGACGATTACGTCAGTGCTGGTTGATGCTGCTGACGTCAGTCATCAGGTGGTGGATGATGACGCCAGTGTCAGCTGGTTGTTGATGATGCAATTGTCAGCTGGTTGTTGATGACGCAACTGTCAGGTGGTGTTTGATGACGCCAGTGTCAGGCGGTTGTTGATGACGCAATTGTCAGGTGGTGGTTGAAGTTACCGCTCAAGTGGTTGATCACTTGGCTGTCACTTGACGATGATATCAAAGGCTCAGCGGGTCAGGTGTTGATGACGTGAGGGGCCTTGAGGACCATTGATGATTCAGGTTTCACACGCTTAGCTGAGTAAAATTTATGAATTGTACTTGATGACGGAGGGTAAACAGATGATTGATGATGACTGGTATCAGCTGGTTGATGATGGCTGGTATCAGCTGGTTGATGATGGCTGGTATCAGCTGATTGATGGTGACTGGTATCAGCTCGTTGACGATGGCTGGTATCAGCTGGGTAATGATAGATGGTATCAGCTGGTTAATCACGACTGGTATCAGTTGGCTCCAGGAGCTTTATCAAGCTTGATAAAGCTCCTGGAGAGCGAAACGTTGCCACAATAAAATGTCACATTAGTTGCACTTGTGTCCTTTTACTTTACATATTGTCGGTAATTCTACCAACTTTATTACGATGATCAGCTGGTTGATGATCAGCTGGTATCAGATAGTTGATCAGCTGGTATTAGTTGGTTGATGATGGGCTGGATGATGATGTGAGTACGATAAAAAAAAAGAAAAATCTTCATTACCATTCCAAAACGAAAGAAATTTCGAAAAGTCACATATTAAAACACGTCTCCTTAGCATACAAAAAAAAAAAACCACACACCCAGGAGCAGATTAAACATAATAAAACACACAAATTGCACAAAAAACAGCCAACATGAGGAGTAAGAGAAACATTAGATAAATTAATGACAATTTGAATGAGTAAAGCGAAAGTGCGCAAGCGCGAGAAAATGTAAACAAAGTGTTGCCGTCTCGCGAGCAATGAATATCTTCCAGGAAGATGACACGCCATTCTTACATACTTATTAAGTACAGAGAATTAATGCACTCACACACACATCAAATGTCATATATATATATATATATATATATATAATATATATATATATATATATATATAATATATATATATATATATATATATATATATATATATATATATATATGTCGTGCCGAATAGGCAGAGCTTGCGATCTTAGCTTAAATAGCAACGCTCATCTTGCCATATAGGACAAGTGAAAATTTGTGAATGCAATCCCCTCAAGGAAGGTTCCTTGATGTTGGTGAGGGGCTCTTGATTTGGGGAATTGGATCTGTGCTCCAGTTCTCCGAATTAAGCCTGAATGCCTTCCACATCCCCCCCAGGCGCTGTATAATCCTCCGGGTTTAGCGCTTCCCCTTGATTATAATAATAATAATAATAAATAATAATATGAATGCAATAATTTCGTCAAAATCGTTCTGAACCTAACGAAAAAAAATATATTTCACTGTGTTTGTTTAGTATTAAATTATTGTAAACAAATCTAAAATATATTTAGTTGGGTTAGGCTAAAATAAATTGCGCTTGTTATAATAAGGTTAGGTAAGTTTTCTAAGTTCCTTTTGGTGCAAAATTATAAATTTTTACATCAACATTAATGAAAAAAATATATCTTTAAACGTATAAGAGAAAATTTTAGAAAGGACTTAATTTTAAATGAGTTCTTGCTAATTGACCAGTTTTACGTATTCGGCACGATATATATATATATGTATATATATATATATTATATATATATATATATTATATATATATATATATATATATTTATATATATATATATATTTATATAATATATATATATATATTAATCAAACGGCCACATCCCACCGAAGCAGGGTGGCCTACGGGACACCTCATATATACTGAGAAATATACATCTCCTGGTAGGTTTAGAGTAGCTATAACTGGACTTATAGATTTAAAAAAGTAACTGTGATTGTGACTGCTTATACCTACTTCACTTACATCATAAATCTGGAGCAGTGAGACACGCTATGATGCCAGTCTCCTTGTTTGGGTCACGTCCAGTACTGGTAGTGCCCAGTCATGTTGACCTGGGCTGTGACTCTCCTTGTTACTTCGAACATTTAACAGTGGTATTAACAGTTAATAATGGTATCAACATTTAACAATGGTATCAGCATTTAACAATGGTATCAACATTTAACAATAGTATTAACAATTTAAGAATGGTATCAACATTTAACAATAGTATCAACAGTTTAACAATGGTATCAGTTTTTGACAATGGTAAATACAAACAAAATTTTAAAATGGTATCACATTTAACAATTGGTATCCAACAAGGTTAACATTTAACATTATCAATTTTAAAATGGTATCTACTTTTAACAATGTTATCAACATTTTAACAATGGTATCAACATTTAACAATGGTATCACATTTTAACAATGGTATCAACATTTTAACAATGG